ATTATACCAGAATTTAATCTTCACTATAAATTTTTGTTGTACTACAAATCCTATTCCTTTAACTGTAATTGTACCATAATTTTGACAGTAAAATATTAAAATTTTAATTATACCATAATTTTTAAATCATACCATAATTCTGAATCATACCATAATTTTTGGTTGTACCATAAGAATTTGTCATCTACCACAATTTGGAAAGTTTAATAATTTTTAATTATAAACCAAAATTTAAAAAGTACAAAAAGCAAAACAAAAATTATGGTACAATTTTGTACCATATTTTTTTTTTATTTTTTGTTTTTTGAATAAGAAACATTGAAAAGATTTATTCAATAATTTTAATATTTACTTTTGAATTTATTAGATGAAACAATTTAGAATTGCTTTGTGTAACTTTTTAACGAGATTTCTGTTTATGTAACAAGTTTATAACGATTTTCTATTATTAGAGCAGGATCATCAAATTTTAACGAGTAGCAAATATTATTGTCTACTCTGATATAATACATATTATTTTTAAAACAATGACATCAAGAAAGAAGAAAAATAAATTCTATTTTTAAACAATGAAAATTTTTATAACCCAAAAAATAATCAAAATAACAAATAATTAATAAACTTTTGTGTAAACTAAAAATTTGATTGGAGAAAAATATTTGTTTCTTTAAATTAAGAAAGAAAATCAATTTTAAAAAAAAGTTTTTCATATTTTTCTTTAAATTGGAGGGGGAAATTAATCAAAATTCTTTGTTGAAAAATAAAAATCAATTAAAAAATATAAATTAATTAAAAAATAAAAACTTAATTAAACAAATCAGGAAAATGTGATTATTTTGTCAATCAAAATTAGTGAAGTCGATAAAGATAATTATTATTTTTTTTTTTTTGCTCATTATAGTTGCGAGTTAATAGTCGACGAAATCAATTTGATTTGATTGCCTGGAAAGACATTAAATTAACAATAGGGAAAGAACATTAATGAGATTGAATTATTTGCCACCTTTTATTGATGAGATTGAAGGAGGGGAAAATTAATTATTCTCGCCTCGAGAAGATCAATTTTCATATTAAGCACTTGAATTTGTAGCATTATCTAAAATACAAATATAAAAAAAATAATAATTGATCATTAATTTTTTTTTTATTTAACAATTAAAAAATTTATTGTACCAGAAAAATCTGGTACAATATTTTACTGTAAGTATCAAAATTAGGTACTTACTTAGTAAAATGTAAATTACGATTAAAAATTTTTTTTTAAATAAAATCAGAATAACAAATTTTTCTGGTACATTTTTTTGGTATTTTAGGTACAACACAAAATTGTGGTAGATGTAATTATTAACTTTTCAAACTTTTTTCAAACATTAAAAAACTTGAATAAAAAATTTTCAGTAGCGAAAATTATCTTTCTGGTACATTTTTTGGTATTTCTGGTACAAGACAAAATTGTGGTACATTTATTTTTAAAATATGCTAATAATAAAATAGTTACAGTTTAAAGAAATCTTTAAAAAAAAATTAGAAGCAAAGAATGTCCTGTACCAGAAAATAAATTTTATTTTTATTATTATTTTCCATGTGTGTGCTATAAGAGATAAATAATAATTAATATAGGAAATGAATAATTGAGTAAATTGGACGCTTTCTTCGTGCGTTTGTCTATTGAAGAATTCTATTAAACGATTCCTTTGTCTCTCTCTCTCCCTCATCATGAATAACGAAAATGTAAATTATATTCTCGTTTGACATGCACTTCATTTTATTTGTAAAAAAGAAAAAAAAACAACAAGATGTAAAATTAGAGCAAAATTTCTCCAATTTCCCTTTTCTCTTGGTATGTTGATTAATAGTTTTCTTTAATTTTTTTTATCTCTTTAAATTTTTCTCCTCAATTAAGTCTACTTACAATTTTTTAACGTTATAGTTTAATATCAGAAAGTTTATTATTTATTTACCAACAAAACGTTTATTTATACCAGAAATCTGCAATTGCTTTCAGACATTAGAATTTGTTAAGAAAACTGTACCAGAATTTTTAAAAAATTATTGTCTAAAATTGCTTTTTTTCGGAAAAATTTGCTTCTACCAGAAAATTAAAAAAATCGAAAAAATTACCTGTACCAGAAAATTGGTAAATTTACATGTACCAGAAAATTACAAAAAAAGAAATTTACCTCTACCGGAAAATACAAAATAAAATTCTTTTGCACCAGAAAATTACAAAATAAGAGCATTTACCTGTACCAGAAAACATAAAATAATAAAATACACTTGTACCAAAAATTACAAAATAAGGAAATTTACCTGTACCAGAAAACACAAAATAATAAAATACACTTGTACCAAAAAATTACAAAATAAGGAAATTTACATGTACCAGAAAATACAGAAAAAGAAAATTTTCTTGTACCAGAAAATTATAAAATAAGAAAACTTACCTTAATTAGGAAAATTACCTAATTACTTGCTTTGTAAATTTACAGACGTAATATTAAATTACTTGTACCAAAAACTTTCACGTACCATATTTCTGGTACAAAAAAAAATTTTTTTTCTGTGAAAATTTGTTAATAAAAAGTTTTTTTTTTGTTTTTTAAAAAGGATATAGCATTTATTAGTGTAGGTTACAATTTTTCCTTTTTTTCTTTTTAAAGGGTAACTTTAAACCTATCCGGGCTTATTCAGTGTTGCGTGACCCACCTTTCATTTTCGCAGGAGGGTCTCAACCCTTGGGAACAAAAATTTTTTTTCAGTAAACAAAAGACCGGTGTATTGAACTACTGGTCAGTTTTGTTATTGCTGCCAACGAGATTACAAGTCTAATGTGAAAATTCTGTAATATTTAAATTTATTAGTGTTTAAAGTTAAAAAAGTGTTAATTTTCATTTTAAATTAATTTTTCAATTATAAATTACATTAAAAAAATATTAGTGCTAAAATTTAATTATTAAAAATGTTAATAATAACAACAAAAAATAACTATTATTATCTTAGTTATTATTTTTATTATTAATATTTTTATTATTATTATTACAAAATGTTTAAGAAACAAAACAAAATGTTCCCTAAGCAAAAAAAAAAAATATATAAATAACAATAATAATATTATTATTATTATTATTATTATTATTATTATTATTATTATTATTATTATTATTATTAATAATAATATTAATAATAATAAGGATAATAACAATAATAATTATATTAATATAATAATTATTGTTAATTATTTATATTCTAATTTTAACATAATTTTTTAATAATTATTAATAACGATAATAACAACTAAAAGTGTTAATACTAAATAAAGATTTTTTTTTATTATTAAACAATAATTATTTAATCACAGGCTACAATTATTTGGTTAATATTTTTAATAACATAACAAAAACATTTAAATACTAAAAGTTAGAACTAAAAACAAATTTTTATATAAAAGGAGAGTGCGGAAAAAAATATGAACAAAAAAAAATGTTGTTTGAACAAATAATAAAAATAATTTAAATAAATATACAAATATGGACAAAATAATAAATCCATAGTGTTATTTAAAAAAAAAACATTTTTAAGATCATCAGGTGAGTTGAATATTTTTTTAAATAATATTTTAAAAATCATTTATTAGTTATTAAACATTATGTTTATGTATATTTAATAAAGAAATAAAAATGTAATTTTTTTTGTATGATTGTTTTTTATTTTCTTAACGATTTTTTAAATACAAAATAGGATTTTTGTCAAGTAAATATAATAATTCGAAAAAAATTCAAAAAAGATTAATTTCAAATTGAAATTTAGTAAAAAATGTATTGCAAAAAAAAATTTTTGAATAAATTACGAGAGATTTGGAGATTAAAACACATTTTAAAATATATACGATGATGATACACAACTGCAGTGCCAGGAGTTATAAAAAATATTATAATTTCTCAAATTTGAATTTGGTTCAAGGCAATGATAGAAATAAAAAAAATTTTTATAACGAAAAAAAAATTAAAAAATTTTAAATTTAAATCCATAAGTAAATAGTTAATAAATAGTGAGTAAAAAAATACTAAATAAATAATTACCAAATTATTATTAGTAAATGATATGAAAAATAATTAATAGATGATAATAAATAATTGTAAATAATTATAAATAATTATAAATAATAATAAAAAATATAAACAATTATAAATAATAGAAAATTATTATAAATAATAAATAGTTATTTATGATACAAGTGCGTAAAATCGTTGATTATACGAGTGTGACGTTTGCAGCTCGAGCCGAAGGCGAGTGCTGCAAGTCACACAAGTATAATCTGATTTACGCACGAGTGCCATACGAAATTTTTTGCAACACTACAACAACTAAACTTGCAGCAATATTGCCAATATTACTGTAACTTTAGGTGTAGTGGGGGAACTGTTAAATGAAGTTTTCTAGAAGCTAAAATAAAAATGTGATTGTAAATTGTTAATTAAAAGCATTATTTCATTGTTTCTCATCAAACAGTCACAAGAATGCGTAAAGTAACCTTTTTACGCACTGAAAATCACTTTACACACTGGAATTCACTTTACACACTGCTAGCGGTGTGTAAAGTAACACTTTACACACCGCTATAAAAAGAAGTACTTTACACACAGTTTTCTGTGTGTAAAATTCAATTTTACAGGTTAGTGTTGCAAAAAAGTAATTATAAATAATATAAAAAGTAATTATAAATAATAGAAAGTGATTAAAAATAATAAATAATATTAATAATAATAAATAATAATAGAAAAATAAAAATAACAAGTTAAAAACAAAAATAAGAAGTAACAAAAAGTGGAAACAATTAAGGTTTATAAACAAATATTCAAAAAGCATATACATGCAAAAAAAAAATTTTTTTAAAACAATAATCACATGCCCATCCCTTTTGCACTATTTTGTTGTTGTTTATTTTGTTTATTTGTTAATTCAGACTAAACGCAAAAAAATTAACAAATTTTTTTACATACGCTCAATAATTGCTTTTTTCTTTGAACGCTTTGGTTCCTTGGTTTCTTTTTTCATTTTTCGTCCCTCTGGAAAATAGAAAATAAAAAGCTCGTAACACCACAAGCCAAAAAAGCAGAAAAAAAAATAAATGAAAATTATTCTACACTAAAAAAAAACAAAAAAATAAAAAAAATAAAAAAAAACGAAAAAAAACGAAAAAAAAATAAAAAAGAACAAAAAAAATAAACAAAAAATTTAATAAAACTAAAAATTAAATGTTAATTTTATTACAATAGCTGAAAATAAAGGTTACAAATAAAAATGTAATTAAAATATTCTGTATAAATGAAAAATCAAAGAATATCAATTTTTTTGCTCTCAATTTTTGCTTGAAAAAATTTTTTAAGAAAACAAATTTTCTATTTTTATTTACTCTTCACACATGATGACGACAAAATGCAAACGCAAATAAATCATGCAGAATTATTATCAAGTTTTCTAAACAATATGTTGAATAATAAAATTATCGTATTTTATTTATATTCACATACGTATTTTCAACGTAAAATTATTCTCAAAATGACTAGAGAAAAATAAATTCAGAAAAACTTTTTATTTTTTTTTCTTTTCACTGATTTTTATTATTCCAAACCATATTTTTAATTATTTATATACCTTTTTATGTTCAATTCATTTAGATTCATGCCTTTTTTAAAAATTCATTTACAACAAAAAACACTCAATGAAATTTGTTGTCCACTTTATATTTTAGAGGCAAAAAAAAAAGAAAAATGAAAAAAAAAACGAATAAAAACTGTAAAGCGGTGAAAAATTCACTTTAAATGCTAAGCAATTATTAAAAAAAAATATCTCGCGGGGGTGAGTTAAAATACTAAAAACAAAAAAAAAACTAAAAGAATGTTAATTTCTTTTCATATAAAAATATTTAACGTACGCTGAAAAAGTGCAATTAGCGGAAAATAAAATTTAACGGACAATTGCATTTGTCATAAAAATTTCAAATTGAAAGAAGAAAAAAAATTATTTTTTTTATTTCAAAAAATAATTATTAAACTCCATTAAGTTTATTTATAAAATAATTGAAAATTAATAATAATAAAATTATTAAAATTTATAATAATAAAATTATTTAAATTAATAATAATAAAATTATTTAAATTAATAATAATAAAATTATTAAAAATAATATAAAATAATGAAACTAAAAATAAATATAATAATAAAAAATAATTAAATATAATTTCTCACTTAAGTAAAATGGAGAATTATATAACAAATAATTTGTTTAATAATAAATTAATAATAATTATATTATTTATTTAATGTTAATTTAATAAAGTATTGTAATAATTTAAATAGAATAATTTTCTAATTATTAACAATTTTAGGTACAATTATGATGAATGTCAATTAAGTCAAAATATCTGTAATTAATTTCATTAATTAACATATCAAAATTGTATTATTATCTTTGATCTAATAATTAGCTAATAGAATATTTTTTTCAAATAATATTAATCAATAAAATACTTACTTGATAATTAATTTGCCAAAATAAAATTAAGAGACAATAATTTTTTATTACAAACAGAAAAATTATTTATTTTTTACTAAAGTTTTTTAGTAATTAAATTTAATTAACATTTATTTAATATATTTATTAGTAATAGATTCAATTATTACAACATTTGAAAATAATTGATTTAATTATTTAATAAATTTATTAAACATTGATTCAACTATTTAAAAAATTTAATAATATATTAATTCAATTATTTAATCTATTTAAATTAATAATTGATTGGAAATTTATTAAATTTAATAATAATTGATTCAATTACTTTATAGATTTATTAAAAATAAATTCAATTTTTTAATTAATTTAATAATAATTAATTATTCCAATTACTTTCCAGATTTATTTATTACCAATTAATGGAATTAATTTATTAATTTAATTAGTCTAATAACAATAAGTTCAATTATTCGACTAATTATTATTATTATTATTGAACTAATTAATTCTAATTAATTTAACTAATAAATAATAATAATTGATTAAATTATTTGATAAATTAAATAATAATTGATTCATTTATTGAGAATGGATTCAATTATTAAAAAAAGATTTGAAAATAATTAATTAAATTATTTAATAGATTTATTAACAATGGATTTAATTATTACCAGATTTATTAATAATTGATTCAATTATTTATTAGATATATTAAATAATTGATTCAACTAATTAATAAATTTAATAATAATTGATTCAATTACTTTATAGATTTATTAACAATTAGTTCAATTTTTTAAATTAATTTAATAATAAATTAATTTAGTTAATTTCAAAGTAATTGATTGAATTAATTGATAGATTTAATAAATAATTTTTTCACTTAATTATTTATATATTTTAATAATAATTTATTCAATTTTCTTATTTATTAATAAAAATTATTAAATTATTTAATTAGTTTAATAACAATTATTTAAATTATTTAAATTATTTAATAATTTATTTAATTATTTTATTAATTTCATAATAATTGATACTAAGATACTATTTAATAAAAAGAAAATAGAAAAGTGATTGAGTGAAGAAAGAGTGAAAGAAACATGGATAATTTATAATAATTTTCACAGGAGGAAAAGTGAATATAAATGTATGCAAATAAACTTGGAGAAAAATATTATCTGAAAGTGACTCGTTTTAATGAGCTCTAGTAATTAAACCTTTTTAAACATATATTCAAGAGTTAAAAGTCATGCTTTGTTTTTTTTATCGCTGGTGAAACTTTTCTTCATAATATATATATGACATGCTGGATAATATTTAGTTTCAATTACTACGTGTGTAGAATGTCCTCGAAGTCATGGTGTCTAATTAGTAATTTGATAGTAAAATATATGTATATCACTATAGGTGTCTATATTATTATTGAAAATGAAGAAGATCTTTTTTCAATTTCTCTTTAGATATAACTGAGAGTGAAATTAGTTAAAAAAAAAATTAAAGTTGATCACTAGTACCAGTATTTGTAACACTTTTGATTTTTATTTAAAAATGTAATACTTTCTGAACTTTTTATTAACTTATTTTTCTCTGAACGTATTTTCTCATATTTTTTATTTTTATAAAAAAAAAAAAAAAAAAAAATTGTTTCATAGTAAATAAAAATTTGTTGACAATTATTTTTTTCTAAACAAAAATTTTTCATTGTTAATAAAAATTTATTGACAATTTTATATTTTATTACAATTATTTTTTTTCCAAACAAAAATTTTTCATTGTAAATAAAAAAAATTTCCATAAAAGAAAATAATAATAAAAATTCCAAAAAAAAAATTGTCATTGTAAATAAAAATTTATTCAATTAAAAAAAATATTCAGTAGAAATATTAAAAAAATTTTCCCTTGAAAAAAAAATTTCATTTATGTATTGCAGGATTGTTTTAAATTTATCAAATTGAATAATCAAATTAATAGAAAAGAATATTTTAAATTTGAAATAAAATTACAAAATATTTCAATTTAAAAATTGTTTAATATTTTCGGAAATTAGGAAAAAAAATGTTTGTTTTTGTAATTTTCCCTTTCTTTTTAGAATAGTTTTTTTTAAATTCATGGTGCTTAAATATGAAAATACGACAAGCATTTCAATGTTTTTAAGTCTAGGCCAACTATATATATAGTCACTTTCTTTGACACGCACGTCAACGTAAAGTTATTGTTGTCACGAGTCGTTGATCTCCAATTGAAACCAATTTCCGTAAATTATAATTGATGAGTCCAACACTTATCTAATAGGAATTGCAATTTCTCAACAGAAAGGTTGTAATCAAATTCACTCATAACAGTAATATTTATTATTGTCAATAAAAAAATTGAGAATTTATTTCGATTGTGATTTAATGTATCTACTGATTTATTGAAAAAAGTATTCTGTATTTTATGTTACCAATTGTTTAGTTTACTAACTATTTTTGTTATAAATTATTTATTTTATCGACTCATATACTTAATTATTATTTTTGTTGCCAACTATTTTTTTGGTCCCAATTTTTTTGTTTTTAGTTATTTGTTACCAACAAATAACAATAATAAAAAAACAATAAAATAAAAAAACAACAATAATTAAATAACAAAAATAACAATAATTGTTTTTTTGTTATTTTGTTGCCAACTATTTTTGTTACTAACTATTTTTGTTACCAAGTATTTTTGTTAAAAACTACTTTTTGTTACCAATTATTCTTGTTACCAACTGTTCTTGGTTTAAAATATTTTTGCTACCAACTATTTCTGTTACCAACTACTTTGGTTACCAACTATTTTTTTACCAATTATTCTCCTTAACAACTACTATTGTTACCAACTATTTTTGTAACCAATTATTAACTTCTTTGATTACCAACTATTTTTGTCACCAATTGCTTTAAATACCAACTATTTTTTACCAATTATTCTCGTTACCAACTAATTTTGTTACCAACTATTTTTGTAACCAATTATTAACTTCTTAAATTACCAACTATCTCTGTTACCAGCTGCTTTGGCTACCAACTATTCTTGTTACCAACTACTTTTGTTACAAACTATTTTTGTTGCCAATTACTAACTACTTTATTTACCAACTATTTTTGTTACCAACTACTTTTGTTACCAACTATTTTTGTAACCAATTACTAACATCTTTAATTACCAACTATTTTTTAATAATTAATCTCGTTACCAACTACTTTTGTTACCAACTATTTTTGTAACCAATTAGTAACTTCTTTAATTACCAACTATTTTTGTCACCAATTGCTTAAGTTACCAACTATTCTTGTTACCAACTACTTTTGTTAATTACTATTTTGGTTACCAACTACTTTTGTTACCAACTATTTTTGTTACCAACTAATTTCGTTAAAATTTTTATTGCAACCAATTGCTAATGTTACTTTTCATAAAAGTTACTAAAACTTTCATAAAATATTCCAAATGTAAATACCAGTTGAGATTTAATAACACAAAATTGTTAAATGAACATTAAATTATTAAATACCAATTGTAGGA